GAATACCCACATTAACGGGTGGAATTCCACCTGTTCAAGTGGATGTCATAAATTAATTCTTATTGGCTCAATAACTGGCCGCGTGCGCCTCCCCCGTTTCTAGCTATCATGAAAGCCACTTCCAGTTTTTCAGGGTTTTTGGGTCTGCCATTTCCTGCTCATGGGTCCCTGGGCCACCCGTTTGGTTGATGGTGGGGTGCGAAAGGCGAATTTTGGCTGCTGAAAGGTGGGGTAATACAGGAGACGCAAACCGCAAGCGGTTCGCCCAAAGGAGCCTTGAGGAACGAAACGAAACTTGGATCCGGCAATTTGGAAGCACTGGAATTAGATAGATGCCCAAAATCTAAGTTTGCTGCGTTTGCACGCGTTCGGATGTTACCGCACCAAGGTTGGGATGGCGCACTTTGGTGGCTTACTCTAGCGTCTGTTCTGAACAGGGTGCACTGGTCACCTGGGTATGCTGAAACGTAATGAAATGTGACCAAAGATGGAGGCAAAAACCAGGGATGTCATATGGTTAGTATCTAGATCAAGATCTTGCGTAGTTCCCCTCTGATTTCCATTTTTTAAATTATGGGTAGCTTGTCACAGCTTGTCACAGTTCGCTTCGCATTTTGTTGTAGAGAGGAGGGGCTGAAATACATGCACGATATTCCTCGCGGTCTCGTGTGGAAAAGGACTATATTTAATATCTACATATCCTAGGACTCCATTCGGCTCATTGCGGTCTGCTCCAAGTTTGCGTATTTCTTCGGAAAATGGCGGCTGCGATGCGGTCGAGGCCCACTCTCCGACGTCAAAGGCCGGGCTGAGCTGAAAAAGGAGTCGCCAGAACGAGCAGCGGTTGGTGGAGGAGCTGGGACAGACGCGGAGTCTGGGGAGTTCTCTGTGTGAGGGAGGTCGTGTCTGGTACGGGCCATTTCTGGCGGGGTCGTATTTCTGTCGGTTGGGTTTGCTGGTTCGTTGGCAGGTTCCGAAACGCGCGGCCTCTTGGAGGGAGTAGACGGGCCCGCCCGGCCCTCCCAGCGACTCGATCGCTTCGAAGGCGGAATAGCAATGGGAGTTGGTGCGGCCGCGGTCGAAGCCGGTCTTGGCAGGTACGTCAGATCAAGGACGCGAAGGGCCAGATGATTCGTGCCAGCAGTGCGACCAGCGACCTTCGCGGTAACACTGAGAAAGGCGCCCGACGGCGGTGTCTTGACCTTTTGCCAACGCTTGGTGTTTTCCAAGAAGCAAATCACAGCGAACTGTACCGGAGCGGCCTTTGAAGCGTTGTAAACGGACGTTTCGACGGTGAAGTGGCGGGGTCCCGAAGGCTTAGGAAAGCCGTCGTCATTAGCGCGGACCGAGCCGATGACGGTCACCATGGGGCACCATTGTTCTGGCAAGTGGCGGCGGTACTTGCCGAAGTCGGCCACGTCTCCTGGGTGCCTAATCAGGCCAGCCGAAGCGAGGCTGCAGGGGTGGAGGGACATGCCTCATTAAGCTCAGTGCCTGGATGCTGATTTCCAAATCACCGTTTGCGGAAAGGACCGTCAAAAAGCGGCCATCGGCATAAAAGAAGGTGTTGGGAAGGTATAGGTCTCGTTCGTTTCGCGTCATATAAACGTGGATGCGGGTGCGAATCGGCTCGGCGATGATATCAGGACTGTAAAAGCCGTCTTCGTCGAAGATGTTGATATCCGCGCGGATCTCGGCGTAATTCGGAGCGTCCCGAGTCGAATCGTCGGTAATGGTGTCGACAAAATCACGCAAGTGGATGATGCTCGAAAATATTGGCTGTCGAGACATGACAGAAGGTGCTAAGCGGGGGCGTTTCGTGTCTGACGCTTGTGGATATCAAGCGTGTGAAGTGCCTGGTAGGTAAGATAGAAGAATTAAGTTGGGTGAATAGGTTTATACTCGAATCTGGTGGGGCGGGTGCTCAAGTGGATGAAGGAACACCTAGGCACGGCTATATAGATCAGGTAAAGTGCAGGG